ATTTGTTCTGTTTAACAGAATTTCGTAGGGTGTCTGCCACCGGGGGAGAAGTGGTCTCCTATTTTATGTCTCCTTGTTAATCTGGTATCTTTTTCTTTTCTTCTCCCTCCACTCCTCCCTCCCCTCCTCCTCCCTACTTCCCCCCAAAAAAATAACAGCTTGAGAAAAATAATGAATGAACAGGAGCTTTATAGATTTGGGATTTATCATAAGCTAGAGTAATCGCAATTGGTGCGATTAAACTACACAAAGCAATAAAGAGAAAACATGATTCAAAGATCGTTTGAGGAGGCATGTGATAGTCGATGAGAGTTGCTTTATGGGGGGGGGGGGGCGGTGCTTAAAAAGCCTGCTTGGATAGAATGTGCAACATCTGCAGGAATGGAGGTGGTTAGCCCTATGTGGTTTGTGTGCGCGTGTTGTGTTCTTTCCTGTTGGGACTCAACACATCTGTGGCATCAAATGGAGATTTGAACAAAAATTAATGGAGGGTAGACAAGGCAGGAAGAAATAAAACCAGGCCAGGCATAAGAATTCAGGTTTGTTTGACCTCATAGTCTTCATGTGATTAAGTACATGGTGCTTTAAATGGGAACTGCTGGAAGGAGATCATTTATTTATTCATAAAACAGTCATTGAATACCTACGAGCAAAATAATATCAATTTTAGATCTAGCCGGTTTGGCTCTGGATAGAGTGTCGGCCCGCGGATTGAAGGGTCCCAGGTTCAATTCCAGTCAAGGGCACATGCCCAGGTTGCAGGCTCGATCCCCAGTAGGGGGCGTGCAGGAGGCAGCCGATCAATGATTCTCTTTCATCATTGATATTTCTATCTCTCTCTCCCTCTACTTTCCTCTCTGAAATCAATAAAAATACATTTTAAAAAATAATATCAATGTCATAGTAAGTTCCCGACGTGGTTCTAAGCATTGGAGCTTTTGAAGTTAAGTAGGACATGGCCCCTGCCTTCCATGAGCTCAGGATAAAGACACACAGGGCCTTCTCCGTGTTCCCGCCCCCTCCACAGAGAAACCTAAATTGGATCCTCC